AAATCAAAAGTTTTACCCAATTAAAATTTTTTAAAGTACACTTACACCATGTAACAAGCCTATATAGGTTCAAACTACATACACTCTTTGAATACCTTTGTCATAATTTTTTTAAACAGGAAAAACAATCACAACTTAGAAGTTCACAATATAGAATAGGGTGATGTTAATAGTTAACTGAGAGTAAAATTTAATCAGAAAAAGTATAAAGATGAAATTTGTGATTTTTATACATAAAGGCAAGCTTATTCAAGGAACAAAGTACTCCAGACATCTAGAGTTAAGTAAACTGGTGCAAAAAAATTGTTAAAAAGAATATTTAAAGGTTTATAACAATAGTAATATTTCAGCCCATACATAGATCATGAAAATATCTGAGGAAAAAAACTACCAATCAGCAGGTGCAAAACAAGATACTGTATTACAGTAACTCCTTTAACATTACGCACATCAATTATATCACCATTTAGAAATTCTCAGAAAAATCTATTATTTGTTTTTTGGAATAATGATAATGATATCTCTTAATGATCTATGCAGCCCCTCTTCTCCCACCAAAAAAAAAAAAGGAGTGGTAGTGTGATGAAGAAATCTAAATATAGGAACATAAACTGATCCCATTTTAAAAATATTTCTGGTTTAACATCTGCAATACCTAGGATCCATAAAGAAGGAGCGATAAAGAATTGAGTGTAATTTGCCATCTTAAGGGAATAGACCCAGTTTATAGACATCACCATGATTTTTATGCTAACAGTTTATATATGAGTCTGGAAAACTTTCCCAATGTAAGACAAAATGATAAGCACACACTACGTGCATTCAACTTACTAGTAAACATTCTCTTCTATAATGTGATATCAGTTCTTCATCATGTCCTCTATATAAGCCTTTGGACAAGAGTTCTTTGTTATTCTGATAAGCACAGATAAGGAACAGCAAGGAATCTATATAACTTAAAAATTAAAAAAAAATACAGCATTAGTATTTCGTCTTTGTAAAAAAAAAGTCAACTACAATTATAAATCATTTTAAGTATACACTTAAATTTTGACTATCTAAAACAATATTATAATTAAAAATACTATCTGGTGTAGTATATGCCTGAGAGCATCTTTTTAGTAACACCAACTCTGAAACCAGGAAATAGTTATGTCTTAAAAGTAAAAAATAAAATGGGGGAGGTAGAAATTAAGAAAAAAGTGGGAGAAGAGACCATAATTGATGAATTCAGTTCTTTCTGTCTTCTTTGGTATTTATTTTCCTGATGTCTTCCCTTTAGACTCAGCATAGGACTGATGTGAAAGCCAGCAATCTACTTAACAACACATGTGATTTTTTCATGAAGAAAAAAAATCAGATTACTTTGTTTTATGATGACAAACATCATTTGGTTTGTTCAATGACTATTTAGTCAGGCTTTTTCTATGTGCAGACAGTTCTAGTCATTGAGAAAAATGTAAAACATAGAAGAGAGAATATCCAAGGAGACAGAGGAAGTGGAAAGGGGAAAAAAATGCTTCTAAATCTGAGAAATCTAGTGGGATAAAACAAAAACAAAAAAGCCCAAAAACTAACATAAAAGGCTCACAGGATTGGGCCAATGTATTATATTAATATAGGTCTAGATACTACAAAGTTCAAACCAGGTTTAAAAAAGGGTCATAATAGAGTATTATTTTTACTTCTAAAATAATTATCCTTCTAACGTGTTAGAGAAAAAAAATATATAGGCACAT